AAAAAAATAATTAAAAAAAAAAAAGAATTATATTTTACAAAGAACCCAAGAAGCCAAAAACTAGAGGGTCAAATATGACAAAATTAATTGACATGAGCCCAGCACACAAAAAGTATAATGTACGGATGGCAAAGATGAGGCATAAAAACTTACCATTTCTTTTGTGCACACATATGACACTTTGAAAATTCAGGTGCCTTTTGTGCCCTTTTCTACAAAACCCAGTGTCATTTTAAGAATGGGTTATATGAACCCTTGATAAGGAATACAACCGGATAATAATTTAGAGCCACCCTTGATAAATGACTGAAAAAGAAGATCTGAGGCAGAGCTTGGTGTTGTTGCAAACATCTATAATCTTACCATTCTGGGAGGATCAATCAAGAGGATCACTAGATCAAATCCTGCACAGGCAATTTAGCAAGATCTATCTCATAATAAAATATTAAAAAACATTATAACAGCAAAGTAACAGTAGATTAAAATAAGAAACAAGCTGGCACAATTGCATACATCTATAATTCCAGCAACCTGGGGAGCTGAAGTAGAGAGATTGAAAGTTTGAAGCCAGCATGGGCAATTTAGTGAGAACCTGTCTCAAAATACAAATAAATTTAAAAAAGGCTGAGGATAGATGTAGCTCAATGGAAAAGCCCTGGGTTCAATCTGATACTGACAGAAAAATCCTAGAGCAATGATATTGGTTATCTTTAAGAGGCCTTCAACATAATTACATAACAGTTCTTGAACAGATACAGAATCAATGAATAAAAAGCTATCACTAAATTACTCCCATTATTCCACTAAATATAAGAATGAACTCTACACCTATTACAGCTATCCTGGATAAGATGACCTACCATGAAATGCAGGGAATCCCTACACTATAGGCATTTTAGCACAAACAATGAAAAATACCCTAGAAAACTAGATAAATAGATAAGGTATACTTTCGCAATATTTAATTTAATTTATTTATTTATTTGTGGTACTGGAGATTGAACTCAGGACCTTGCACTTGCAAGGCAAGCACTTATTCTACTGAGCTATCTCCCTGGCCCTCATTTTATTTTATCTATTTATTTATTTTCTTTGGTGGAACTGGGGATTGAACTCAGGCCTTCTACTGAGCTATCTCCCCGGCTCCTCACAATATCATTTTACAGATGACATTCAACAAACATTTGTTGCTAAGGTTAATGATAGCTGGCTGCAGTTGGGCATGGTGGTAGAGTATGCCCGTAATGCCAGCATTTTGGGGGTCTGAGGCAGGGAGATGTCAAGTTCCAGCCCAGACTGGGCAACTTACTTAGATCCTGTGTGAAAAAAAAAAAAAAAAAAGGCTGGGAAAGGTTGAAGATATAGCTCAGTGTGAAAGCCTTGGGTTCAATTCCTAGGACTAAAATAACAACAAAAAGAACTGTAGGTATTTACTGAGCACATGATGTGCACCAATATACTCAGGTTGTTTAAAATTTACTATTTCAAAAACTTACTTTGTCAGTAAGATAAATATTTGTTCTTCATAGGAAAAACTCTATAATAACTATTGTATTCTGCAGAGATGACCTTTTTTTTTTTTCTTTTTAATGGTACCAGGAATTGAACTCAAGACCCTGTGCTTGCCAGGCAGGCACTTATTCTACTGAGCTATTCCCCTGGCCCCCTATTCTGCAGAGATGAAATAAAACTTTTTAACTTGGATATGGCTTCTTAACTCAAAAGCTGACATATAGCCAGGTATGATGACTTATACCTTTAATACCAGCACTCAGGAGGCTGAGGCAGGAAGATCCAGCCTGGGCTATATAGTGAACACAAGGCCAGCTGGGATTATAAGGCAAGACCCTATCTTTAAAAAAAAAAAAAAAGATGTCTATAAAATCTTTATTGATTAATTAACAGAAACCTCTGGTTACTGCAAAGGCTTTAATAGGGCTACCCACTGAGGTTTTTTTGGAGACAGGGTCTTACTATGTGTTCCAAACTCCTTTAAAGTTTTGGCAATCTCTTGCTTCAGTCTCCTTAGTGGGGGTGCCACAAGGCCTGGCTTCCTGAATTTTTGTTTCTTTTTGAAGAGATTTAATCATGAACATTTGCACCACTAAAGTAATGCTTGATGAAAATAAGAAAAAGCTGGCATGATAGTTAATGCCTGTAGTGCCAGCTATTTGAGAAGCTGAGGTAGAAAGATTATAAATTTGAGGTCCACTGGGGCAATTTGGTGAGAGCCTATCTCAAAATAAAAAAGGGGTGGGGAGTATCTAATAACTCAGTGTGTTATAGTGTTTGCTATCGTACATAAGGTTCTGGGTTCAATATCTCAAGCAAAGTAAAAATACAGTAACTAACTGAACAAGAAACAACTATATGCATCAGAATCTTTCAGGCAGGTACATACCACATTCCCCAAAAATATTTAAAATTTAAAAATGTAAGGTATCCAGAAATACCTAACAGACTTACCTCGATCTCTGCCAGTTGAGAGACACTTGAAAATCACCATCCTCAAGTCTAGACCTTCTTTAAGCCAGATCTTATCCATAATTTTTATCATCTGTAAAGCCAACATATCTTGCCGAAGATCTTCACCAACCTTGAAATCAAGAAAATAATTGGTCAAGCAATGGCTGTGACTCATCCACATAGCTGACACTGACAAAAGATCTACAGACTGCAGTACAGGGTTTCAAGATAAATCCTGAGGACATTTGACTGACTTGTCAGACACAAAAGTTACATTTCTTGTTATACAGGTCTTGCTTTATCTTGGTTTTAACCATCCAGCACAAAAATATAAAAACAAAGTATACAAAGTAAAGCTATATTAGTACACTGAGCTGTAAAAGGCTCAAGTCAACAACTTCTGACATTGCCAGTCCTATGGCAAAACCCACTACTATTATGGACTACTGGACTATATTGGAATATTTTGCTGAATTCATGCACCTGTAATATTTAAATGACAATGGAATACCCTTCTCTGACAAAACTAAACAAAAAAATGGAATATAAATGAAGAACCATTTTGTATCTGTATATTCAAAATAGGATAGATACACAGCTACTTTCTCTTCAGTGAACAGAAAGATTTGTTCTAATAGTGTTTATGAACAGGATATCATGTCTGCATCTTGTTCTATGAATAACCACTAAGAAAACAACAATATGCAATGTATTGATTATTGAAACTATGCTACTAATCAGTGTTTTTACTAATCAGTTTTGAAACTGTCTTATTGCTATTTGTTTCTCAATAAAACTATTTAAAAAAAGAAATCAAGAAAATGAGATAAATTAATCTACCTTTTATATTTTTTTTGCAGCATTGCAGAGAAAGCTATTTAACCTATTAATATCTCAGTTTCCAAAACAATATAGCTGAGGGTTTATGAATTAGATTGAATTAGAAGGATTTTTTTTTTTTTTTTGCTCTGAATGCCTTCAGGGCAGGTTTGGCTGGCTTGAGTTGTGGGGGATCGAACTGCAGCAAACTGAGCCTGACTGCTTTGTTGAAGCAGCCACTTAAAGAACTGAGCTAAGGGCAGGCCCCCTACATTGAATTAGAAAAGGGGCAACATAGAGATCTTTGCTTCTTTTCCCCCACCTTCCTCCCCTCCCTTCAATCCCTCTTTCCTTCTTTATTTACAAAAGTTTTGTTTCCTTTTTTTCTGAGTACATGATGAGTACCAATAAACTCAGGTTGTTTAAAATTCATTATCTCAAAAACTTACTTGGTCAATAAGATAAGTGTTTCATCTTCATAAGAAAAACTTCTATAATGATTATTTTATTCTGCAGAAATGAAATCAACATTGTTTTAACTTGGATATGGCTTTATTCTTAGCTCAAAAGCTGAAGTCCAGCTGAGTGTGACGACTTAATACCTGTAATACTAGCACTGGGGAGAGGTGCTATTCTGTTTTCTTTCTTTTCCCTTCCTTCAGTTCTTCCTTTCTCTCTCCATTCTATCCTTTCCCATTTGAATATTTTCTTCCTATTTCACAATACCTGTTACTTATTTTGGTTTTCATTCTCCATTCACCTAGAAATGTCTCAAGTTTATGTATGGCTTAGTAGTACTCCATTATATATTTTTTTAAAAACCCCACATTTTAAAAATCTATTCATCAGTTGATGGAATCTGGGCTGTTTCCAAAATTAAGCTATTAGAAACTGTGCTGCTATAAATATGGGTGTGCACATATTACTATGATACTTTTTTTAAAAAAATGCATTTAGTGCAGGGTCTACAGGGTCTCAGTAGACAAATCAGACTCACAGTGATCCTCCTGTTTTCAGCCTCCCAAACGCTGGGATTACAGGTGTGTGCCACCATGTCCAGTCTCAATTACCATCTTGGCAAGCCCCAGGGGCAGGGCTGCCATGGCACACCAGGGATCAAACCCTATTCCCTGCATCTGCCTAAGCAGGTGCTTTAAACTGCTGAGCTAAATTGCCGGCCCTGGTATGATACTTTTAATTCTTTTTTTTTTTTTTTGCTCCTCGAATGCCTTCAGGGCGCTTTTAATTCTTTTAGAAAGATACTAAGAAGGGAAATAGTTGGGTCAAATGGAACTTCTAGTTTTAGTTTTTTGAGGAATCTCCACATTGATTTCCACAGTGGCTGCACCAGTCTATAGTCCCACTAAAAGTAGAGAAGGGTACTTTTTTTTCCCTAAACACCACTAGCTTGTTACTGGTAGATTTCCTGACAGTAGCTGTTCTTTTTAGAATGAGATGGAATCTCAACATTGAGTTCTACCTAGGGATATATATATATATTCCCCCCCCCACCCCGGCTACCGAGTATCAAACTCAGGACCTTGTGCTTGCCAGGCATGTGCTTATGCCATTGAGCTATCTCCCTGGCCCTAGAGATCTTTTTGATGATCTTTATTAAGCTAATATTCTGATTATGTTACTGTACTATAATCCTGTAAGATATTACCATTGGAGAAAACTGGGCAAAGGATTCACAAAGCCTCTCTGAATAATTTGTTCATTCTGTCTATGTATATACAATTATCTTAAATAAAAGAAATTAGGCCTTCCAAAATAAGTTTAACTGGGCACTAGCTGAAGTAGAAGGATCACAGGCTTAAGCCCAACTTGGGCAACTTAGTAAGACCCTGTCTTTTTTTTTTTGGTGGAACCTGGGATTGAACTCAGGCCCTTGTGCTTGCCAGGGAAGCACTTATTCCACTGAGCCATCTCCCCGGGTCCCTAAAACCCTGTCTTGAAAATGGACTGGGAGGGCCGGCCAGATAGCTCAGCATATTAAACACCTGCTTTAGCAGATGGCAGATGCACGGACCAGGAGTTTCATCCCCAGTGTGCCTAGCTGGTCCAGCCCCTGGGGCACGCTGACATGGCAACTGACACTGGGAATGGGCTGGGGAGATAGCTCAGTAGTATAAGCACTGAGTGGTGGTGTACTGTAATCCCAGCGTTTGAGAGGCTGAAAACAGGAGGATCACTATGAGCCTGATCTGTGTTGTGAGACTCTGTAGTACATATATTAAAAGAAAGAAAAAAAAAAAAAGCTG